TGGCTCATTATCTGACTGTATCTTTCTCATGTGGATATTGTCTCCCTCCCATGGCAATTCTACACATGTCCATTTGCCTTTGACTTGGGTAAGTATTTTCACAACATTTTATTTTCAGGGACTCTCTTTTACTGCTGCTAATGGGATCCCACTCTGTGATGAGTGTTGTACCATGCTTAGTGGTATATACATCTGTCTATCTCAATGTTCTTAAGTTTCACTCAATGGCGAACTGACACTCATGGATTTTTATGAGTAAAGCAAAAGGGAATTTCTGCCCATCCCTGCCAACCCTTTGATTGCATAAATTGGGGACAGTATGCTTTTCAAAATAAGGAATCATGGACACCCATTGTACTTTCTCCAGTGTAAAATTCCTCCAGACTCCCCACTGCAATTACTTCCCTCTTTTTTCTCCAAATGGAGCACAGGAGTCCTTACTACTTAACAGTTCCCAGTCACTAGGGTGGTGAATCAAGAAGGCTTCCTTCTGAGTGTGAAGTAGAAATTTACCTTACAATAAAACTGCATATTTATCCACTCAGTGAGAAGAGGACAAAGAGGATGTTTATTTCCAGGTGGACCAAATGTTGGTTGCAGCAGGACCAGCCTACAGGGGATCCTCCTCATAATACTGGCTTCAGGATGACACTGCCCTGTTTCCACAATTGAGTGCAGTAAAGGCCCCTTTCTCATTAATTCTGGTTGCAGGAGGTTTCCTTCCATGTTTTTATGGTTGAGTTTGGGGGACTTCACTTGCCTCGTAATACCGGTGACAGAACATGCATACACTGTTCCTGTGGTTGAGCAAATGTTTCACATCCTCCTTGTAATTCAGGGTGCAAGATTTGTTTTCCCTGCATTTGCAGTTGAGTCAATTAGATTTCTGCTCTTAATACAGGTTACAAGTATTGCTCTGTTCTTATGGTTGAACTGAGGTAATGACATGACCCCGTAATGCCATAATCGATGTGTTGTACTTCTGCGGTGGTTTGGGAGTTTCTCCAGTTTTGGAAAAATGCTAACTTCCTCTTTGTAATTTCAGTTGCTTGACGTATGATACTCTGTTGACTTATTGTTGGGGTTGGTGTATTTATATCACATGCCCTAGCCACAGTGTTTATGTTACTTTAATTTATTTTTGTCTGATTGATCCTCAACCTCCTAATGCTGTGGACAGGTTGTGGAACCTCATCTCTGGTTAAAGTTGGATAGATCCATTGCAGAGGCTAGTTGTTTCTCTCCATCATCATATTTCAATGAACTGTTTCTTGACTTGCTGTTCTCCTCGTGTGGGTATCGAGTTTTCGTTTCATAGATTGGATCTTCACTTATGGGATCCAGCTGTTTTCCAGTCCAGTTTGTGTGATGGTGATTGATTCAGATGCTCTCCATTTTTCCTGTGGATTATACCTCTCAGAACAAATTATGCTTGTGCACATCCTTTTTTTATTCCGCCCATGTCAGGTTCATTTCCTTTTTTTGGGGGGGGGGGTGAAGAGCATACCTGCTCTAGAAGTACTGCAGTACCTCACATGTGCTTCGGTTTTGTCTCTGAGCACACCAGTTATTTCTAGAGAGTCTCTTTCCATTTGGTTGCAGTGTTGGGTGTCTACACTGGACCCTCTACTGTTTCAATGTGGAATTCTAGCTTTGTGTGTGTGTGAGGAAATAAGACCGTATTGGAAGTTCACATATTCTTACACTGAAAATATATTTCTGATGAGTGCTTACCTCTTCTAATGCACTTCTCACCTTTCCTCCCCACTGCTGGTGTTCTTCATTTTAGATTCTGCCAATTCTCCAAAGTGACAATTGAGCAGGAACTTCAGAGGGAGATAGCCATTCCAATATATACTATTGGTGGAGGGTGGTTACATGCTATATACATATTCAAAAGTGGCATGTTATTTGTGAGATATATAGACTGGTGTGCTGTGTGTTAAAAGTTTTTAGCAGTGTTTAGGGGACAGAAAGAAAATCAAGATAACTGTGTGTGTGAGGGGTGTGAGTACCTATTGGAAATACATTTTTGGTTCAAAAAAATATTAACTTCCATAGGAAGATATACTGGTGTTACAAGGTGCTATGTTCCAAAAACCATGTTAATGTAATATACTCAGCCTGTGTGTGTGTGTGTGTATATAAACAAAATTTTCATAATTCTTCCTAAGTTTTATTTGCTGATTTTATTTTTTTGGTCATTCTTCAGAATGAATTGTTGAATAAGACTAAAAGCTTGAATAAAATTCATTCTAGATTTTCCTAACAACTCAATAAATATCAGAATGAATATAAAAATAATTATAGCTGCTCTGACAATGTATACAAACACAAAACTTAGTGGAAAACTAAAAGAAGTAATAATAATTTATTTACATACCTTTATCATACAGAAATACAATTATAAAAATTATTATTTACTGGTAATGAATTAAGTTTGGCATTTGCTCATGATAGGTATGTGAATTGACTCTTAAACGTGTATGTCTGCCATGTTTCATTGCCTACAAAACAAGATAAATGATAAACAATTTTACTTCAATTATACAGAAAATTAGAACTAAAATAATTTCTTTTTTAACTCTAGCTCCAAAAAATATGTTTATCATACTGAATATAGGGTGTGGTTTTAAAATCTGTGGGTACCAAAAAACATTCTTTCCACTTTAAACTGAGGGTGTATTAGTAGAGTGACAGTCAATCCTTTGGTATGGATGGTGGGTGTTAGGGCACTGCTTACTGGACAGTAGCTCAAAGTTAGGGATGGCAGGAAAAAAGCCTTAGTAGCTTTGCCATAAATATTATACTTGATACATGCACACAAAATATAACAATTTTTTACAAGTGAGCTTCTTGCATGAAAACATTTCTGATTTCTTAAGTTTTTGTGTAAAAAATTTTATATAGGTTTTGGTTCTCTTTTTGAAAGAATTATTAGCTTATCTTTAAATGAAATTTAGTCTATAATCATAAATTTTCTTTAATTCTTCTAAAATACTGTACTTCAAATGTGGATTTTAACAGCAGGGTAGTGTGGAATAACCAAAGGAATTCTTTGTGTATCACAGTCATTACAAAAAATATGGTTATTGTTTATAGTTCTAGCTAAATTAAAACCCCTTGTGTGTTATGTTATTTGTATAATAACAAAAATTTAAATATATTCTTGTTGCACTGTTTTAGTTTTATTTAACAATTAACTATGAAGAGTAACTGGGAAAATTACAAAACCAATAAATGAAAGTTAAGGACTGAAGTTAACAAGTTTTTCCATTTGTACATTCACAGTGAAAATTACCTCCAACAGAAAGTAAATGCTTTTTTATTATCTAAATATTACAAGATTAGTAATTGGACCATCTGGAACAGTTTGACTCACATAAGTCTTGATTTATTACAGTTCTCAACATGTACTTTGATTTAGTGTTTGCTGTATATCTCTATGTAAGTGGAACTGTATACTTAGCTTAAAATGTTTTTATTTTTCTTGGTAAATATGGTGTTACAGTTAATGTAAAAATCTGTGTACAAGTGAGAAACAAAAACATAAAGCTCTTAATTATATTTCTTGCTTAGCAAAACTGAATGAAAATTTTTTTAACTTTAAGTTGGTCACTAGTGTGAAAGCTATTTTACAGGTTCATTTACTTTTAAATGAATTTCATAATTTTGTAATTTTTATATCTAGTGTATGCCTACAAGTTAATATATGGAACAGAAATGTAAGACTTCCCATGAGTTACAACTCTTCTCATAATTCCAGGAAATCTTTACTGTAAAGCTAGAAGCTAATCAGTTAAATTAGTGATAAAAATTTATGTTGGCTTGTTATTTATTCTAAATAGGCAATTATAATGACAAGTTTTTATGACTAATGATAAACTTAAAAAAAAAAGTAGAAGTTTTTAAATAATGCCTTTACTTAAAGACATTGCATGAGTCTAGAAATACAAACTTTAGTTCTGGCCATTCTGAAAAGTGTAGTAAGAAATGTCAAGATTTCCACAATATCTGTGTATGCTGTAAATCATCTAAATAAAAAATATTTTCAGAAGTATGGATAGTTCTTCAGTTGCAGTATTTTAAGTATGGTACATTAGCATCATAAATTATAAAATAAATAAAATTAGTACTTAGAGCTATGAAGTAATTAAACCAAAAATAAACTCAAAAGGAGTTAAGCTTGCACCCTCTGATTGTATGTGACATTCATTTTCTAAGAACAATACAGGTATATAGTAAAATCTGATGAAATAATCATTTTTTGAAGTTAATTAATATCTGTATGTCTTTTTCTCAGTTTATTAGAGTACTTATTGTTATGTAGACCATTGTGTATTTTTTCTTTTTAATATAATTCTTTAACATACTCTTTTTGAAAAGAAAACTTGATTGCTTGAAGGATTTCCTAACAAAAGTGTTAATGAAAGAAATATAACTGATTTAAGAAAAATAAAATGTCATTCTTGAAGTCAATCCAGAATTTGTGTTAAAAATCAGTAGGGGAGTTAAATAAGAATTAATTGTTTATATCTTTTCTCTCCATTCATTTTATGGTATTTTTATATAAAAGTATTAATTAGTATTAATTTGCTGTCACCTAATAGCATTGATTTTTATATCAGTTTTTGTTTTTAGTTTGATTGACTGATTTTATATTGGTGAATTGAAGAATGGCACATTTATCTATTTGTATATTCCAGATGTGTTACATTTGTATAATTTAAATTCTAAAGAATAATATGCTTTCCATGTTTTCACTGTAGTTGAGATGAAACTGATGAGCAGTAGTCAGTGTTAAGTAAATAAGACTAATTATTTAAATTTTCCAATTAATGGAAATCCTACTGCTAGTCTTGTAACTTCTAGTCAGTTTACTATACAGGATTAACTTTAATTTATAAGTAAGTTACTCTTTAGTTCTGTTCTGCTTACTTTTGATCCAAAGATTCTAATAAGAATTAGATGTAATAACAATAATAACTTTCATTCCTTAGACGCATGATGAATCGGGGAGTGTACAATGGAGACAAATATTTCTTGCTGTGACTGAGCGAGATGTCCTATTTTATGACCTTGTCCCGTGGACCAAAGAAGCTTGGGCTGTCCCTGCGCACAGCTCTCCTCTTGTTCAAACAAGGTAGAATATGTTAAGTTTAAGCTTTTCCTGCTTTATGTCTAGTACTGTCATGATTTGAAACATTTGTAGTAGTGTGATGTTATTGTAGTGAATAGTTTTATTTTTTATTGGATAATTTTTTTGCTCTTTGTTATATGTAATGTAAGTAGAAAAATGTTTAATATATGTTTTAGGATCTTTTGGAAATGATAATGTTGATCAATGCTTTCAGGATGATTATTAAAATTAGCAAATTAAACATTTTCTCTGGCATTTTTGTGTTTAACTTTTGTGTAAGGCACAGAATTTCTCTGTTAAAATGTATTTACTAAAATATATCAAGTGCAAGCTTAATGAGTGTATTATTTACATAAAACACAAAAAACCATATCTACCTTTAAATTACTTAGTGAGAAATTTAAGTTGGTTCAGTAATATTTATCCTTAAGTATTTTTTCATATTCTGAAATTTTGATGTCTACACTTAAACCCCTAAGATCAAATATGTCATTTGTACAGGCAAACATATAGTCAGAATCAATCTTATCAATCATAACACTCCCTGTTCAATTCCCGTGTCTCATCTGCTCTCCACATTTTGTCCCACTTCCATCCATTGTTCTACTTGTTGGTGATCATCCAGTCAGTAAAGGATATGTGGAAGCCCATCTATCACATTTGCAAACATATAATCCTGCATAATTTCAATGTCTTGAAGAGGTAATGTCAGAGTTATTGGGGAAATAAGCCATTGTGATGATTCACAACCCCTCTAGATTTTTACTCCTGCCTTTCTGTTCTCCTCAAAAGGTCGAGGACTGATGTTCAATTATAGACCTCTCTTCCCTCTGTTGTTTCTTGGTTGGCACACAATTTCAGATGGTGAATTTTTTTTCTCTCTCTCCATTGATCATTTCCACCCAACCTGTAGATGACTAAAGTCTGTTTCAGATGTCTTTCTCCACATCTCAGTTGCTCTGTCCTCGCAATGTTTTCTCTCCTGTTTATTCACCAGGATTGCATTTTCCAGTCCCATGCTCTCTCATTTGGTACAGCATTTGTCCCCCTGTATATTAATTTGCATTATGCAAGCCTTCACTTGACTTCCTCACATTCTGGATCTGCAACTCCATTTTATATTTGCAACAGGCTTCTTCTCACCTGTTCCAAGTCACAATCTTTCCAAAACATTTCCCTTCTTTACTAATCTGATCATTTGGGGTAGCTCATCAATTTCCTTCTTCCTTTCTCACCCTCACCCAATTTCCTATACATCGGGGAACTCTCTTTGACTCATCTCGACAATGCCCGACCTTCTCCCATTCTCCTACTGGATTTTGAATTTCTACTCACCATGTTTTACAACTTGCATTAACTTTTTACTGAAGAGATTATTTCTCTTTTGGGGACTGTGACTTCTCTGGAACCTCTGCTTTCATATGGCTGCACACCTATACTTCCAAAAAATGGATATTGCATGACCAATGGACCCTTACAGGGTTTCACTGTCTTAATCAATCCATCTTTCTCCTTTTCATACTTGGTGGCTAGACTGCTCTAACACCACATCTGACATTTCTTTACCTCCTCCCAAACTGGATCATTACCTATTTATGAATGCTTCGCTCTCAGGACAAGAAATGTCACTGAATAATGGTATGACTTTCAGCTTTATGTCCGTAGATAAGCATTCTCTACTTATCATGGTTTTGAACTGCTTATTATCTATTGGGCATCCTCACATTTCCTATCTTTCCTTATGAATTGTTTAGTTCTGATCCATTTGAACAGTTCCACTGTTGTATCTCATGTCAACCACTGAGGGAGTGCACTCTCCAGGCCTCTTTGCTTCCTGACACTGGACCTCCTCCTTTGACCCTATTCTAATTGTCTGATTTTAAAGACCTGTAATGTTTTGGGTGTACTGGCCATTATCATAGGCTGTCTTTCATAACGAGATTATGCCCTACACACAGAATGGTCCCTCCCCTTAGAAATCCATTGATCTGCTCTCAACTCCATACTCCCTATGTAGATGCTTTTGCCACACCCCAGATCCCTACATTGTAGGGATGTAACATCGCTATTGTTATATTTCATTCCAAGTATATAACTAGTGGATGAAATGTTTTAAAATTTGTCAAGAACCTTCATAAAAGTATGTATTTACAGAAAATTAAAATACTTAGATTTTGTTTTTCCTATTATTCCTAATAAAAATGCATTGTTTAACTCTCTCAACATGGGGTTGGTCAAATTATAAGTTTCTCTATATATTAGGTATATCTTCACAAAATTTGGCAGTCTTTCAGTTAATATTACAAGTCTTTCACATACAAAAAGTCATATTTCTTAGTGAAGTCTATCTAATAAAATAAAAAAAGTTTTGTCCATGAAGATACTGAGTATTTGTTTTGAATAGTCCATGTGCTAAGTAATTTTGATTTTAAAATTAGAAATACTTTTTGTCATCTCAAAAATCTCAAATTTCCTTTGTGTAATCCCTAAAACCTCCTAAATGCATTTCAAACGTTTTTTTCACTACATCCTTATAGTTTATATGTTATTTTCTGTACCCTATCTCAAAACGGATTGGTCAGTTCGACAACCTCGTAATCACCAAAAAAAAAAATCAAAATAAATCTAAATTAACCTTGTTTTCTTTCTAGAATGACTTCAAATT